GCTCTTTCCAAGCAGATACATCTTTGTCATAGCGATACAGCTTGGCTCTGCTACTGAACATGACCTCTTCATCTTCCTCTCCAGTCTGTACTTCAACTCGTTCAGGGAGGGGTATGAGTGGCTCAAAATGAACATCTTCAGTGTATGATGTAGAGGAATCAGGCTTTTGCAGGAAGGTATTTCCTTGCTTACTGGGAGATCTCTTGCTTGGAGACAAGTTAATTTCATCTTCTTTTTCTTCATTTGGATCTGCGCGTCCAATGGTGAAAAGTTTCGAGCTAGCCAGTGCCGAGCCACCGGGTGATTGGAAATTGGATGAAGCTTGAGAAGGCTCCTTCATTACGTCCTGAGCAGTGTTTGCTGCTTCTGATTGAAGGACCCTGCATCCTGGATCCGGCGAATATGGAACCTTTTTAAAACTGGGCCCAGCTTGACACCTATAATGGGTCATTTCTTGGGGCGACTCGTGAAGTGTATTTTCTAATCTCGTCAGTTTGTTGAAGACAATCTGTAGCGGAGTGTGTAACTCCTCCTTAACAGCAACAAGCATCTCCTGCGATTGCCAAAACAGAAAAACACAAGTTAAAGCTAATTGAGAAGAATACGCGTATAAGTGAAGCCTTGAATTGAGCATTGAAAAGCTAAAACTAAGGTAATCAAAACAGCTGATGGAAGCTAGGGTTACTAACATCATATAAGCCAATCACAGCAGATTAAAATAGAAGCGCGGGAAAGCGCGAGTGATCAAGTCGTGAGTGGTTTCCAGTTTGCATCTGATTGGTCGAGTGAATGGCCTGGCTCAAGTTTTCTGGTCCAATATACAGAGTGACTAAAAGTAAACGGAAAACCCAAAGCAATACCGCATTACTTTCGACACTCGATTGAAAGTTCCTCGATATAGGAAGCGCAATTGTGATTTTGAGATTCCTAATTTCTCAAAAACGTGCAAATGTTTCTTTTCGATGAGAATTTATGTCACAAAAGGAAAGAAATACGTCTCTGCTTAACTCGTATGGTAATCTTATGATAACCATATACTTCGCCTCTACAGCATGATTTTAAGTGTCTGTGACCTGTATGTATATCCATAGCGATCAAGTTAACAATGTCCGTATTTCATCGTGGAAGATAGACAATGTTTTCCGTGATTCCCTAGAAAGATATAAGGTCACCTTGGAGTATGAGAATACTCGTATAAGTTTTTCCAAGGTGGAAACATTTGCAATACTAAGTGGACAAAATGACACTTTTTTTAATTCTAATAAAACTTGTCTTACGTTTAGGAAGCCTTGAAACTCTTTCCGCGAAGTCATCTCAGCCTCGACTCTGGACAGGACCGTTTCCAATCTTTCCATACTGTGTTTAGTTTTTTCCCTTTCTTCGAAAAGAAGGCTCTGTGAAAAAAAGAAAACATGGCGGTAGGTGTGGCTGCGTTCCGCTGCACATTCGTTCAAATTCACCGACACATCAGATTTTCGAAGTCAGTGTATCTGATGGGGTTCCAATCATTTTTCTTTCCTCCTGCTTTTTGAAGTTCCTTGCCGCGATTGAAAATTGATGAAAGCATGAATGTTTTAAGTGAGAGCTGGAGTTTGAACCTGTGCGGAGTTCCGCCATTGTAGCTCAATCGAGGAACTTTCTTGTGATACGTTAACATTCACATACTTGTGAAATACCCCTGTTTTTTTCGACGTTTTAGAACAAAATATATCCAACTGAATCAAATTGGAAGAGGCTTGAATTAACAGAATAAATATTCAATCATGGGGAATATATTAACAACGGTCAGCACAGCACGTTATTTCACCTAAGAGAGTTGCAACGTAGATCTTCAAACATACCTTGTACTCCTCTATCTGCTGTGTCATGGACTCAAGTTTCTCTGCAAGATGACTACTTGACATGTCTTTCTCCCTCAGCTATGAATTAAACAATCATAAGGGTTCAATTTGGAGCGTTGGATATTTCTAGGTAGAAATCAGCGGAAGAGAATAACACCTATTTCAACATACACAAGTGGAAATTTTCCCAATACGAATTATAGAGAGGAAATAACTCACTTGTTTTCTCGCATTTGAAAGTTCTTTGGTTGTTGTTAGCAACGCAGACTCCATTTTGATTGCCCTTTCTTCCAGTTGCTGACGTTGATCATCAATAATATCTGCAGAAAAATGAGAAACCACATTGTTTAATATTATTCCACGAGTAGAACAAAACCTTAAATAAGAAACGACCAAGCGCAAATGCAAAAAAAAAAAATAAAACTTATCGTTTGTTATTTGGGTATTTCAAGTATAGAACAACGAAACGACGGATGGAAATACTTAGACGTTAGCGGGATCTCTTCCTACTGATTCCTCTGTGATAAGTGTAGAGCAGTTTAGAGACGGGTTTGTCGACTCGGCATTAATTTTGTATTACACCCTTTATTACAATATATATGCGTTATTAACCAAGCGTGAGGTCAAGATGGTTGGATGGTTGGCCATCTTGTCCGAACCAGCCTGGTTCATAAAGGGTTTGTTATATAGCAAAACGATTTCGCGGTAATAAGAATCATTATTAATGACTTCCAACGGCGCGGTTTGTTGCACAATTAACCGACGAGAGTCGTTTATGTTTTCTTTGTTTTGACCGTCTTCTGCCGCTTCCGCTTTCGCTGACATTGTACAAGAACTACGAACTTTGTAAGTCCACTCCTCATTTTTTTTTTCTTGCGCGGGATCAATACAAGCGGGCAATATGAACCCATCTTGCCTGCTCGAGTAGCCAATCAGAACTTAGGATTCGCGTCGTAGTGCCCGCGGGTGCTGCCAGCGATGTAATAGATGTAGATATTTGTTACTGACCTATCTGGGACTGACATCCTTCCAGTTTCTTCTCCAACCGAGCAATCCTTTCTAGAAGTGCCCTTTCTCTCTCAGAGATAACTTTGTCCCCATCCATTTTGTGGCTTTGAAAACTTGATTTACGCAATCATTCAGCGTCAGGTTTACAAATATAGATCTCGACAGAAAATGAAAATGGAAACCCTTGAACTTGAGAAACAAGACAAAACGAAGCATCCTGCAACAGCATTTTCTTTATGCCCCATCAAGAATGTTACCAGCCTTTCCGAATCAGTGAAAATGCTTCGGGAAAGAGACATATTACCTTGCAAAGAGTAGCTACAGAGCCAAATAGCCACTCAATTAAAGGTCTGTTATGATGCCTAAGGTAACAATTTTATGAAGTAGGAAAATTTCCGTAACACCAGTTGACAGTTATGCGCAAACTGAGCCCAAATAAACATCACTTCAATTAAAATAAAGACAGAAGGAGGAAAAAGATCCTCTGATTTTCACAAAGCGATATTTTAACAGAAGGCTTATTTCAGTTCCTGAGAAATCCCGGAAGTCAAGTTGCGAAAGATGCAAATTATTAAACTAAAATTTGTTAAGATCGCTCATTGAGGATAACCATATCGAAAACGATTACATTCGTAAATGTAAGCTTAACATACCGAAATATTCTTGATCAGTAATGCTTTCTTGGCTGTTTGAAAATCAGAGGATTGTTTTCACCAAACGAATAACACCATACTACCTCTAATACGCGACTTTGCTAATACTGGTGGGGTCAGTATGAATGCTGGGATTGGCCGAGTCAGTACCAGATCACTCAACGGGCATGTCGTTTCGGTTTAGTTTCGGTTTAGTTTCGGTGTCGCAGTGATATGTGTACCCCCGTGATATGTGTACCCCCGTGATATGTGTACCCCCGCACACATATCACTAGTGATATGTGTAACCCTGGTAGGGATACACAAAACACTGAAGCTTTGCACCTGGGCCTCTTAGAGCTTCAAAGAAAACATGGCTACGAGGAATAAATTTTGTGGTTTTATATTTTAAAGTTTCCGATCCAAAATATAAACGGAAGAAGATCACAGTGCAACTGAATAACAATACACATATTGACTGCGATTGCCGCGATATGCGTATCCACATTGTATCCCCTAGATGTATTGGGGATACACATATCACTGAACGGCGATCGCAGTGATATGTGTATCCCCTGACTAACTCGCTGTCGTCTGTCAATTTGGAATCAATAATACACTTACTAGCCATATATAAGCTTAGCTAGTAATTTGCTGGACAGACAAAAGCGCTTGCTTTACCAAGGGATACACATATTGACTGCGATTGCCGCGATATGCGTATCCACATTGTATCCCCAAGATGTATTGGGGATACACATATCACTGAACGGCGATCGCAGTGATATGTGTATCCCCTGACTAACTCGCT